ATAGTATATATATGATATAATATACTGTATTTCTAATAGTAGTAGTAGCATATAGAAAAATCTACATATTTCATATAGCTTCCTTGAAGTGCTCATACAGTAAAGGGAGGGGAAAGGTTGGAACGGAATGAGATTCCCTGGCTTCTGAAAGAGATCAGTATTCCCTGGGCAGTCTGTGAAAATGTAAAGCAGTTTCCAGAAGAGCCCGTCTCCTTCTGTCCAGCTGGCAGCTGACTGGGAAGGCCCTTTAAGGACTGTGCATTGCTTCCATGGGAAATGCACACAAATCACTGAGGCTTTTGTGCAGGACTGATCAGTTCTTAACAAAGTTTATTTAACTCACGGATGGGATCAGAAAGGTAGTTCTGAATTAAGGCATGTGTACAGTATATTTTGTTTGATCTGAATGTAGCTGAGGGGATTTAAGATAAGCTAAGTTTGGTTTACTCTGAAAATTACACTGAGATCATACACAGAAAAACATAGGTATGATAGAAATGTTAGGGCATGAAATTATATTTTCAGTCTCTTCTTCTTTCAGATACAGATCTCATTCAGAAAAGAGAGAGATCATCTTCTTTTACCATCCTTCCTACCTTCCCTCCCACCCACACAGGTAATGAAAAGTAAACATTTATGTAGAAAAGCAGTTATTAGTTAAAATAAAGAGGTGTACAGAAATGCCTAGAGATGAAGTGCATTGGACTAGTCTGGTATTTAGACAGAAGAAATGAATGTTTTAGGAGGAGGGCTGGTAGTTCAATACAATAAATATTTTTTGCATTTGGTGTTAGGGAATCCTGCAGGATGGGGTGGAATCTTTGAACAATTTGGAAATAAGCATTTACAGAGTGTGGTACAAATCATATTTGAAAAACACCAGAATAGAGTTACAGTAATTACATGAATAGTTGGCTTACAAGGTTATGGTTCCTATAGAAATATAATTTTCTATCCTAGGAACTTGTCTTGTGGCTAACCAGTGACCCTGTGAACATTCTCCCACTTAGCACAGACTCCCACAATGGAGTGGTCTTGAACCTCTTACCAGAGACAGTTCCTTGACAGGCATTGGCATAAAGGATTTCTAAACAATGTTAAGGGGACACAGCATTGTAATAACAACATACAAATAGCACACTCTCTGCAATGAAAAAGTAGTGATTGTATGTAGTGCATCACTTGTGCTATTTTACAGAACATGGTACATGTATAGCATCCCACCCTTAAGGGAAAGGGAGCGCCTGAGAGCCATAGATGGTCGTGGTTGAAAGGAAGGACAAAAGTCAGAGGTTCCACAAAAACTTATAAAGTTTGATCTGTAAATTACACACTTGACATGGAAATGAGTGGAAGCTAGTCCAGCACACAGTGGTGAGTTTTGGATAAAGGGGTAGGGTAAAAGGGAAGAGAGATATGAATTAAAGTGGTGGAGAGCAAAAGAAAGGAAGAAAGGGAGAAAGAGACATCACTAGTCATGGCTCCAGCATTGATCCAGCTGATGGGGTGCTCAGGGTCCTGGAGCACCTGCACACATGGGCTTTGTGCAGGTACCTTGTTATAGATAAGTTTTTCCCACCCTGGAGATAAATTTCTCACTTTCTATGCAAATCAGTTATCATGCAGAGTCCATTCTTCCACACCTTTCTGGAAATGGGCCAGAGGGCTTCAGAGGCCTTAGGTGGTCTTGATCCACCCCCCACAGTCCATACCTGCTTCTTGACATCATTTCTGTGCTTGACTGTACTGTGTTGTGTTTATCTCCAGGAACCAGAATAAGGATGTTTGTCCCAGAAAAGTGCTGCCCTACCTCCATATGGCCCCTTCTCCTGCCACATCCTGTTGTTTCTCACAGCATGTTCTTACCAACAATCCTTGGTTGTTATTAGCAGCAATCTTTGGTTGGCTCCAGAATTATCCAGCTGTCAGTGTTCGAGACATACACATAGGGTGCTTTCTGTGCCTAAATCTACCCACTTGTAAAAACTAAGACAGTAAGAGTTATCTTGGAGATCTTTTTTAGATGGATAGGTTGGAATATTCTTCAGGTACTACCAAAATAGGGAGGGGTTACAGAAACATGAATTAATGATTAAAATTTGTTATTACTCAATTTTCTACAGTAAAGAAGAATAACATATTTGTGACCTCAGCTCTTCTTCAAAGAAATCCTGACTTCATCAAAAGTACAAGGAAAGGTAACTGTTGTTGTAATACTTATTCACTGTAGTTCCACAAAGACATTCTTAGCAGCTACAGAAAACATAAAAATGACAGAACTTTTCCATGCTGTGATAGGCTAAGTATCTTCATGAAGTTTGTAAGTTATTCATTTGACAATGTAAATTTCTTCTGACCCTTGATCTGAGGGTCTGCTCTGACTACCTATTTCCTGAGTGGGCTGAATATAACCAAGTGGACTGAATACAACCTTGAATAGTAAAATTCCACATTTCTAACTGAGTATTCTCTTACAGCCTCAATGATTCTATGTTTCTTTGATCTTATGGAGAAGACAGCGGAGAGCTCTCTTGGTGTCTGCAGACGCAGGATTAAATCTGAAATGCCAGCAGACAGATTTAACACAAAGTAGTAAATACAAGTATAAATATATACTTAAATATAGAAAACCTAATACACTTAATAAATATACATAAGTATGTATATGTATATAATACATTAAATCTTTATCTTGATAGGATAACAGGGTTGGTTTCACTGCAGAACTTTCTATTTTAGAAACCATTACAATTTTTTTCATAGTATGTGCAAAGTAAGTAACAAGAAATATTAGAAGTGTTTTGAAACTTTCAGTTAAAGAGGCAAGACACTGAGGTATGAATTAAGCGTGAAGAAAATGTATCAGTTTAAATATTTTGTCTTTATATTTTGCAAGGATTCTTGCCACCAAGTCAATTGAGGAATGTCATTAGACCTGCTGTTTTACAACCCCCACAAGCCCTGACCTGTCCTGAAAATCCTGTAGTATCTCTAGTGACTGAAAAAGAAGCATGTGTTCAGGTAAAAAGAAAAGTAATTTTACTGGCTAATGCATGTTTGGAGTTACAAAAAGCCAAAACCAAAACAAAACCCCAAACCACAAAATCCCCCAAACATCAAACAAAACAGTGCTGTTTTAAAACAATTAATCATTCCACTGCATGATTTTCAAGAAAGTTGCCGTATAAGTTTCAGTAGAATTGATGGATCATTGACATGATGTGAAACGTTAAACTCATGCTGACTGTGTTTGAAACCTTTCAGATATCAGGGTTCTGTGGGCAAATTGGCTTTGGGGGTCTTTTGGATTTTGTTTATTTCGAAAGAGAGATTTTAATATTGATTGACAGTACTGGCTTAGTATACAGCTGCAGGAAGTTCTACCAACTACTACATCTGTTTCTAGAAGTATCTCTATCTATCTGTCTATCTATACCTCTGTGACTGTATTCTAGCACATCTTTTTCAGCAGAAAACAAGCTAGTTATAATTAATCCACCTGGTTTTATAATTCTTAGCTATCTGAAGACAGCTCTTGTTCCTCAGCTGAGAATTCAGTAAATTCCAAAACAGCAGTGAGGTCGTCTACTACCATGAAGCTTTCTAACTCTGAAACAACACAGTAAGTTTCTATTTATTGTATTTCTGCATCATTTTGTCACTTGGATGATGGCATGTCTTTTTTATCCTACATGTCTAACATTGTAGCTAACTAAAACCATGCTATTTACACCCACACAGGGCTCAGTGGTGTTTGTGTGTGATGCCTACATTTGTGGGTGCTGACATGAGCTCCATATGCCATAAAATTGGACCCCTGACTGGAATTAATCTCTGCGAGACAGTTTGTTTCTTATTAGCAAGCCAGACACTATTTTGGTTTGCCATCTCATGCACCTTTGGCAGTTCAAAATATGTTCGGGTTTTGAATGTTGACAATCTTCTTTGTGTCCCTTTGGATAGTTCTTTTTAGATTGCATAGCTTCTGTGTCTCATAAAGAGATGCAGAGGAACTCAGGAATCACAAAAGTATGTCAGCATATTGGACACAAAAGACAAAGAAAACCATACAGAATTGATTTAGAAGACCAGGTAAATGCTCCAACTGATGTTCTACTTCGATGCATACACCAGAGTTTCTGTCATGAAGAGCTAGTTGTGACAACTGTGATAGGCTGGAATTTTTGTGCAGCACAGCCTTCAGAATTTCTGGGTGAGGAAGCTGACTTCTTTCAGCTAGCACATTGCCCCGTTCCCTTGACACTGTATGTGACTGATGTAAAAATAAGCTACTACCTCTCTCTGGAGACTGGCTCACGAGAATGGCAGGTCTGTGGTTAGCCAGCTTAATGTCAGTAGGTTATATTGTGGATTAATACTGTTTGCTAATGGCTGGTGAGGGTTTTTTACCTGGAAGTTGTAAGCATCAGGAATACACCTGAGATCACTTACGATGAGGGAATGAGTTTTCAAAATTGCCAGGGCCACAGATAACAATTCGTGTTATTGGCTAATTCCCCCTCCTGCCTGAAGAGGGCAGAGTTAATTGCAAGTGAGTCTTCTACAGGATGGACCACACATCCAGATTGGGATGCACAGTGCCAAGGTTCTGAGGAAGTAAGGGGTTTTTCAATGCACAGACAACTTAGACTCTTAATCTTTATCAACAAAAGGAACGTCATTAGAGTGAAGATGATCACTGTGATTTTGGAAGAGCCAACCTGTCCTTGTCTATTACAATTTATGCTGTGATGATGCCCTGTGAGGACAACATGGAGCCACACAGCACACTGGATTTTGGGCAGATTCAGAATGATGTTAATGCACATATTGGAAAAGCTAAGTCAGTTGGCATTGATACTTTAAATCTATTTACCTTGTCACCTGTACAATATCTAGGAAAAGATAGGTGAGTGACAGAAATACAACGCTGGGAAAACAGAGGCTTCTGGTCATGTATTCAGCTTTGCACAAGGATTCGCTTGGGAAACTGAAAGTGTTCAAGAGCAGCACTAGAACTGGTAGCTACTCAGACCTATCTGGACATTCTAAGAAGGGTAGTACCTGGATCTAATCCCTTTTCATAGTCTCCTACCAGTATCTTATCCACATTTCTCCTCACATTGTTCCTTTTTAGTGATCATTCGCTGAATTCAGTTACTGTGTTTTGGATCTGCATGGCAATGCCACCCCGGCACACTTTGTTCTTGCCATGCAGCAACATAAGGATATTGAGGTTTTAATAAGGTTGTAAGGCTGATAAAAGAAAGATCCTGCACTGATTAATTTTTTCTCACATTTCTGAAAATAACCGAATCTATTTTCCTACATTATTTCTTCTAAGCAAACCTCTAGTTCCTGGGTTTTCGCTCTTTTGGTGTGCTGTCCTTAAGTAGTGGTTATTGGAGCAGCACAGAAGTAGCAGATGAAATGTCATGATGGAAAGTAATCATAATTCAGTGAATTTTAGTGAAAGGTGTGCTTAAGGATAAGAAACTCTTTAATTTAAACACACTGCAGATTCCCTATTCATGGCCCAAAACATGCACGGACGGCTTCAAGGCTGAAAAGATATGTATTTTCTGATTTTCTTATTTGCTTTTGTTCTTATCAACAAATCAAGCATGAGAATGCTAAGGAATATTTTTTTCATTACATGTAAGTTAGAGACAGGTAGTACTCAGTAAGTCCTTCATCCTTGAAGAGATTTAAGCACACTGTCATTGGAACACAGACACTAGGTCTTAGAGGCAATGATCAAAGTTCTGTCAACAAACCCAGCTTATTAACAGGAATGTCCTCTGCATGACACCTGTGCTGTTAACCCTCCCAAGGGTGATAATGATGAAAGTGCAGTAAGTGGTGCTGAAGTATACAGTATGTGGCACAAGATCAGATTGTCTTCCTGCCAAGTCATCCTTCTGGAACAGAAAGAGACAAGAACTTGGATGGGGTTTCATTTGAGATGCAGGATTAAGCTATACAGAAAGCATGAACTACCTATAACCCTTTGTTTAAAAAAAAACCACCAAAACCAAACCCAAACAAGCAGCAGGAGCAACTTCCACCAAATAAGTTTGCAAGGACATTTCTAGTCCTTTTTTCAAGAAAATGGACTCTATTAATTTAAAGTGGCTATGTAATTAGCAGGTCAAATCACAGGTCAACTTACATTAGAATATTCTTGAAGGTAAATCCCAAACTGTAGTTGGCCAGTACCAAAGGATTGCAAGTATTTATTTTTCTTCTCTTCTCATTCTAAGTATATCTATGGAACAGTTAATTGAAAAATGGAACAATTTTTCTTTATTGTTTTAGTTATACCCATCTTTAGCCATGTGCTATCATACCTTTACAGTTTTACATTATTTGTGTGTGTATGAGAATACACTGCCTCCCTGCCCTTCCTGTAGGGCACTGGGGTGTATGTTATTCTGTAGGCTACCAGAGGTGCACCAACATGAAAAGATAGTTGTTAATTGCTGGTAGTCCTTTGGAGCAGCAAAAGGAAACAGAAAAACAAAGGTAATTAATTAATGTTTCTGGAGTAAGACACTTCCCTGAAGAGGCATATTGTTTTGTTTCTTGTTCTTTGCTTTTAAGGAACATCCTCAATAATCTTCATGAAATACAGCATGACACTCTCTGTTTCTTTTGTGAAATGTTATGTAGAGGATATTCTCAGATTCTCTTAAAGGAATTTGTCTGATTACTTACAAGGAAGCTTTTTTGTTTGCCTTTAATGTTAGGTATGGTAAACATTAACTTATTTATATTCTTTAAAAAGTTCTACATAGTTCAAAATCACATTCTTATGTTATTTTGTTCCCACAGAAGCCAGTTCCTTGAAGACAGAAGTGTACAGAGCAGCAAAAATTCTGATTTTGTGTTTGGGGAAAACATGGTTGAAAGAGTTTTGGTAAGACCTGTAAATTCTGGCAGACTATTTATCAAGGTTAATGTACTTAAGAGTACATTTTTTTTTCAGTTATTGATTCTTTTTAGCTCCTCCTGTTCTTTTAAAGATGGGGTAAATATGGTTCCAATGACTCTTGAGGAGAAAATATCTAAGAATGTGCTGTTGGAGGTGTTCCTATCTTCCCCATCCTAGATAAGTACTCTGATCACTAACTCATAGCAATATGCACTTCTGTTCTGCTCATTTTTTGACCTGAAAAAGAGTTTTTTTATGTATTCCATGTAAAGTGGAACAGCCACAACATTAGATAAAAGAACATGGTCCCTACTCTAATAGTTTCCATCATAACTATTAAGAAGTAGAAATACCTGAAAGAAGCCCACAAGAAAGATGGGGAGAGACTGTTTGCAAGGGCATGTAGTGACAGGACAAGAGAGGATGGCTTCAAACTGAAAGACAGTAGGATTAGATTGGATATTAGGAAACAATTCTTTACTATGAGGATGGTGAGGCACTGAAACAGGCTGCCCAGAGAAACTGTGGATGCCCCATCCCTGAAGGTGCTCAAGGCCAGGCCGGATGGGGCTCTGAACAACCTGGTCTAGTGGAAGGTGTCACTGACCATGGCAGAGAGGGATGGAATTAGATGATCTTTAAGGTCCCATCCAATCCAAAACATTCTGTGATTCTGTGATAAATGAGGGGGAAAATTGGACACCCATCCTCGATAGTGTCCATGTTAAACTATGTTGTGCATGCTTGTCAGACAGCTTAATGGATAAAGTCGTAAAGGACACTAGGAAAAGAAGGTCATTCCCAAGCTGAGGGCTACAGCATTGAAAATGGAATGGAAATTTAGTTTCCAATAGAAGTAGAATGAAAACAATATTCATACATGTTACTAAAAAAGCTTGGTCTGGGTTATGACTTCTGACCCAGGTTTAGTTATAAGGTAGGAGTTGAGTCACTGAGCATTGTCAGAAGCCACAATCATTTATTTAGACATGCCTAGGAAACTTTATGTGGGAAAATTGAATGTGATGGTAATTTAATTCCTCTGAGGTGAAGTTTGTGGTGCCTGGGAGTTTTAAACTACTCTTCTGTGACTTAAGTGCTTGAACTATAAATTACCTGATACTTTAACATCTAAGTTCTTCAGTGGATTTAAATCCTAGTCCAGGATCCATACAAAGAACCTATTCCTCTCTATGGAAATATGGTGTACTGGTTTAATAGTAATAAAATTACTTTCTCTAGAGACTGAGATTGTATTATCTGGGTCAGTTTTTACTTTGAAGATGTTCAAATTGCTACTCTTTAGCCTGGCATGTATTAAATGATTCAATGTTCTTTTTGGTACAAAGTAATAGAGCCATTTTCTTTAAGTAACTAGTCTTATTTACCATGTATTTTCCTAGAGTCCTGAGAAGCATCCCAAGCTGTGTAATGAAGCTGATTTATGGGAAGGAGAAATAACATCCATGTACATAGGGTCTTCTTATGTCAGTCTACAAACGAGTAAGTATACTCAGCAAACAAGTAGAGTTAGCTTTATTATTATGCTTCACTGTATGTTAGAGGATGTGAAATGAGTGGTGGTCAGAAATTTTCATCTATTCTCAAGCTATCCAGTCATGTGTACACTTGCAGTATGCGCCAAAATCTGTGTTCAGAAAGCAGCTACAGTTTGATTTATGACACATGAACTGAACTAACTTCAGAATACATGATCTAAGTAACTCAGGAAATGCTAGAGTTTTATAGATCATTATTATTATTTAGTACAAATTATGATCTGTTGTTTGAAAAAAAATGCAGTGAACTTTATGAAGTCCTTTTGACCACATTTTTGAACTACAATTTTAAGCTACCTTCTGCCTGTATTTTGTGACTGCTCATATAATTAGTTTGCTATTTTGGATGTTTATCATAGGACTGAAAGGTCTATACAAACAGTTTTCAGGGGCTGTGTCTCTGGTGTGAGATATTCTACTAGGCAAACCATGTAAACCCAGGCTGAGAGGGAATCCCAAGCAGGCCCCTGTCTTGAACCCACTTGCAAAATTTTGTACCCCTCTTTACTAACAGAGGTATTGGATCCTCTGATTTTTTTGCAAACATTCTTACAAGTGAAAAAACCCAAAGTCTATGGAAAAATGTATAGATTATTCAAATACCCAAAATTCTGTAACAATGTGGTTTCTCTCAAATCTTGTCCTTCTGTGTTCCTGTAAAATATTCATTGTATATGCCTTACTATTCTGAACACTGAGACATGTCTTTCCTTAGATATATTAATCTGCACAGCAATATAACAGACCAGTTTAACTTGGAAAATCATCTTCTAATTATTTAGGGCTTGTTTCTGCTTATTTATGCTTGTCCCTTGGGACTAACCTCTGCAAGTACAGACAGACCTGTTCCATTCAAAATGAGCCTATTTAGTGAAGCATTTTGTATTCCAGCCTGTTTCTTTTTCTCTGCTCTTCATTGCTTTGGCCAAAAAACTTACAAGTAACACTAAATAATGTCAGACACCACAGATATTACTGAGTTCACAGGCCATGCTTTATGCTAGTTTTGTTATCCTGAAAATATCCCCTGTACAGAAAGGATTTCCTTTTTCTCCCCTTTCAGACACAGCTGTGTTGCAGAATGCAACACTAATTGAATCAGCAGCTGCTTGTGTCTCCAAGCCAGTGAAGAAAATCCTGTTAGATAAAGTTGAAGTTATAACTGGAGAAGAAGCAGAGCACAATGTATTACAGGTCTGTGTTTCATAAAGCCTTGACGGTGAGCAGTTCTGTTGTTGAGAAGATCTAGCTATACTACAGACTGCAGCAATCTGGAAATAATTTCAGTTTATATTTTAAATTTTCACTCTTTTTCTAAGCTATGCCTTAGCTAACCCATTTTTCTGTAGGCTGGTATTTTCTTTCACATATTATATTTGTTCATTTTTTAGTCCCTTTCATAAGGTTGCCGCTTCAGAATTTCATTCTACAGTGCTATTTTATAAGCATCTAGACAGTATATTCCAAATTGGGAGTAATTTGAGTAAAGATGGGGTTTATGACTAAACCTTTTCAGGAAAAAAGACAACGTGCTGTTAAAGTAATTTGTTTTATAGTTCAGCTAAAGTATCCATTATCTTTCTGACCCAGTAGGACATACCTCGTTATTTTTCTTTTCCAAAATACTATTTTCTCAGAAAATAACAATGATATATATGACTTTAAAAATCTTAACATTATTTTATGTTTGATCAATTTTTCTGTCTTGCCCAAACATGGAAGTTTTACTTTCTTTGGAGTAGTGCTCTTCTAGTCGTGGTGCTGGTACCCTGGGCTGCATGTTTGTAATGAGCGAGGGATAAGGTTGTAGAACACTTCAAACAAATTCAGCTGTGTTGGTGGATATGACAGATGAAGCGTTAATGAAGAAGAAATAATTGAAAATGTAAACTGGGATTCATGCTGAATGTTTTCCATGATGAGAAAAGAGTTTAGCACTTGATTTTAAGTAATAATGGGGATATATCTATGTATCTATCTTGGAACACATGCATATGGATATACTAACAACCAAATCAAAATATTTAAAACCATGAAGTTTTAGAACCAACAAATTAGCCTTGGCTGGCAATCTTCATCATGTGTTTCTCTTTCAGATCAACTGCAAGCTCTTTGTATTTAATAAGCTTTCCTTAACCTGGACTGAAAGAGGCAGAGGATCCCTGAGGCTGAATGACACTTCTAGCAATAAGTGTGGAACATTGCAGTCCAGGCTAAGTAAGAATTAAACAGTGAAGTGCCACATGCACAAAACACCAAGTAACTCATACTATTGCTGGCCAGAATAAGAGGTTTTTGTCAGAACATTTAAAGCTGAGAATCTAGTTTTATTTAAGTCAAGTTGCTGAGAATCTTTTCACCAGATAAATTTCACTGTGTTATGGACTGAGACACTGGGTATTTTTCACTCAGTTAATACACACACACTTACACAGGTTATTAAGTTCTGTGTCCTTTTACAGCATTGTGTCGTCAGCACAGTCACCAGTGTGATAGTTTGCTCTTTGTTTATTCTGCTTTTATGGGAGAACTGTTTCAAGACACTACTGGAATGAGGTTTTTACTGTGCTGTCGGTTTTTGTGCATTGTATTACAGAGTTTCAACAGTTTATTTCCTTCGTGTGTCAGATATATTGAAAGAAACATATATATTTGGATATTTTAAAAAATTATTAACAGTATCTCACCATGTCAGGGTTTTAGTCCAAATTAAAAAGAATTATTGATAAAAATACTAGTTGTATATAAATGGTAGAGAAAACTGCTGCATTAAAAATTAAGATGGTTCCACAATCTTATCATGTAAACCTTCTTATTTTAGTTATGCGAAATCAAGGGAGCTTGAGACTGATTCTCAACACCCGACTCTGGGAACAAATGGTTATAAAAAGAGCAAACAGAAAGAGCTTGTGCTTCACTGCAACAGACCAAGAGGACCAGTCTGTTCAAGTATTTCTAACTCAGGTAAGGAGATAAAAACTGCACCCAAATCCCCATTTCATCTAGGATTCTGAAGACTTGCTGAAAGTTAGTTTTAACAAATCACCTTCATGCTCTGTCAGGCTGTGCTTAGCTTAGCTGTTACATAGACTTTATTATTGAATTTGTTAGAAATGCTATTCCTTGGTATTCCAAAACAAAAAAACCCAAACAGGTGTAATAATGGGATATGGCCTTAGGACAGGTATTTCCAGACTCTGGTTCACATATCACTGATGGAATGGATATCATAGCAGTAATAGGTAGCAGTTACCTTTTTTTTACAGAAGCAATACTTTAAGAATTTCTACACATGTAGTTAAATATTCATAAGTTACTCTGGTAAAAGGCAGTAGCTTTCTGCCATGGTTCTCAAAAGAGTGCTTGCAATAATCTATCCATTGTAGGATCTCCATTTCTCACTTGAGGAAAACACAGAGTTTGCAATGTCACCTCAAGTAAGACAGTAGTCTTGGGGACGCTGGTTTTCTCTAGCAAGGGCTAAGTTGGGGATGGAAATGTGGTGAATTTACTTGCAAATGAATAGCACATATGTCCTAGACTGGGAAGTGAAAGCATCCACATGAGTTTAAGGATGTTTCCAGTTTCCCCAGCAGACCTTTCTGGGAATGATTCAGCCTCCTGGGCAAGAAAAACAAACCTCCATTTCCAGGAATTGTCACACATCATCTACAAGCAAAGCACCATGCCCTGTATATGCAAGCACTGTAAGCCTGTCACTTCCAAACAGGGTTGACTTACTTGTGGCTGTGCTGTACTGCTGGTCTGCATGTAAGAATTACAAATGTCCTGATTTCCAGATATGTTGCACAGTTTTTTTAGTGTGTATAGATGTAAACATTCCATAAATTCTGCCTGAGCACTGCTGGGCAGTAAAAAACGTCACGTATGCAGGAAACCAAGACATATGCATCTGTATGGGGGTGTCAAGTGTTGCAGAAAGAGCTTCTGCAGTACCGAAGTGGCTGGTTTCTGGCCCTGCAGTATCCAGCTGGCTACTGTATATAGTAATATTTCAGTGTTTTCTTACTTCTAGAATCACACTCAGTAATCATGTGAAATATCATGTACTTTGTACAAATCGAGCCATTCTTCAGGGGAAATAATTTTTTCAACTTATGTTTCTTGTAGCTATGGAGAAAATAATCAACAGCTACATATTATTGAACTCAGACCACTTAAAGAAACTTGACATTATTTGTATTTAAATTGATATTCGTATTTTAATTATTAAGCGTGAACCTTGAATGGACTGTTTAAAAAAAACAAAGTACAACTCTTTCCTTATTTTCACAAGTTTCTCAATCAGCTCTTCTGTGAAAAATAAAGATTTTTCTCAGTGTGGACTGTATGCATTTTATATTCTGCAGGCAAGCTCAAAAGACACTGAACACCTGTATGCAGCAATACATCATCGTCTTGTGGCATTGCGAAGCTTTGCTGAGCAAGAGCCAGATGCTAATCAAGTAGACACAGAGTCAGAAATAGCTTTTCAGCCATTAGTCTGTGATACTGATGATGAAGATGATGAAAAAATATCTCAAGTGAGCAGCAGTGGAGCTGGTAAGCAGAAGTTTTCATGCAAATACTGTAATCCTTTCAGGGTATTTCCTTGAAGCAATGAAAATTGAACTTTTTTTTTTAAGCTGACTGTAACTTTTGACTGCTACATATATCCCTTTTCAGGAAGAATGAGGTAACTCCTCCTAGTATTTCGACTTGCTGCTGTTAAAATGCAAGTTTTTGCCAGCTCAAGTATCTATATGTATTTGTAGCAGTGGAATACTTTTTTTGACAAAAGGCTGAGGTTTAACAGATTTTAATATTACCAAGCTTTACCCAGATGTTTCTTCATTATATTTCAAATAGAAATGTCCCTAATTGTTGAGATACTAGTTTTGCCTTGAGTAAGCGAATGTTGAGTCCATTCACATCAGTGCTTAAGCTGATACCACTGGCTTGAAGCACACTGTATTTACTAAGATATTTATTATGTCATGGACAACTTCATTTAAAAAACTGATGCTTCATCAGCTGTAACAACCACCTCACTAGGAATTTGCAGGACAGCGTTTACACACGAGTTCTGCCAGCTGTCTTCAACATGACAAAAATGTAGGTTCCTCAAATGGAAGAAACCCATTAAACCAAGATATAAGATATTAAAGCTAAGACACAAGATATCAGTGATGTAATCCTTCTCTTAATACAGCTCACAACTGATCTGGGGTCACATTTGCAGAAAGCAAGGCAGAAATAGCTGTTATACTTAAAAGCTCTTCTGTCTTAGGAAAAGACAAGTCATATTTCTGGGGCAAATTCATGTGCTTGTGTCAAACTGCTACAGTGGATACAGGAGCTGTAAATTCCATTTGATTTTCTAACAGATAGAATACAGCAGGCATGGTTGAGTTGTTGCTCACAGCATTAGTTTCCCTCTGCAACTTGGTAACATACTGTCTGTTTATACTATTAACTTTCCTTTCAACAAGCATCAAGTCATGTACAGTAACAGCTATAAGTACTGTTTCCATAAGGAAACCATTTTTTTCCCTCCTTTATCACAGAATCATAGAATATCCTGAATTCGAAGGGACCTGTAAGGGTCATTGAGTTCAATTCCTGGCCCTGCACAGGACAACCTGAAGGGTCAAACCATCTGCAAGCAAGTCTTATCTAAATCTGTTAGGCTTGGAGCCATGACCACTTCCCTGGGGGGCCTGTTCTAGTGCCCAACCACCCTCTGGGTGAGGAAGCTCTTCCTAGTAAACTCCCACACCGATTGAGCTTCAGGCCATTCCTTCAGGTCCTCTCACTGGTTGTCAGAGAGAAGAGATCAGTGCCTGCCCTTCTGCTTCCCCATGTGAGGAAGTGATGAGGTCTCCCCTCAATCTACTTTTCTCCAGGCCGCAACCAAGGGACCTCAGATGGTCCTTGTATGGCTACCCCTGTAGGCCCTTCACCACCTTGGTCCCCCTACTCCAAATCAACTAAGATCCTATTACAGTGTGATGTTCTTCTTATATTGAGGAACCCAGAACTGCACACAGGGCTCGAGGTGAGGCCACACCAGTGCAAAGCAGAGTGGGACAATCACCTCCCTTGACCTGCTGGCTACGCTGTGCCTGATGCACCCCAGGACATGGTTGGCCCTCCTGGCTGCCAGGGCACACTGCTGACTCTTATTCAGCTTGTTATAAAGCCAACCCCCCAGATTCCTTTCTGCAATCTATTTAGTCAAATAGATTGCACTTTACAGTGCTTGTTCCCATTATTAATTATTGCTTAACTATATTTCAGTAGGATTAAGTGCTCTAAACAAAGCATGATGCTCTTATATGTTATTTTCTCACAAATAGCTCTTTTCTGTTTAGGAAACAGGAAAATTGTTGGCTCAGAGAACTCCCTAGATTGCTCCCAGATAATCAAACATTCTCTCTGTAATTCCTAAATAGTCTGTATTGATTTTTTACGAAACGTTTCAAGCAACTTGGAAGCTCCGGGTGGAGTTTGATTCCTTTCCAGAAATATTAGTGATAAGAACTCTTTGTTCTTTTAGGAAAAAAAAAAAAGGAGGGGAAAGGGAATGTCAAAGTGGTGTGGGAACACAGATTTGCAAGTTAAATATTTATTTTGATTTGCAGAGACATCTGATACAAATATTCAGATGGCAGCCAGCAAACATTCTGAAATGTGTCAGGTGCTGGTTTTTCTTGACCTTTTAGTTTAAGCATCTGTCCTTCATTTATGTCCAGTTGCTAACAGCAGTTCTAACAATCCCTTTCAAGTGGTTTTTTTAATGGCTTCTAGCATTTCCTGTGTATCTTTATCTCTTCTATTATTGTCAGAGCCACAAGGTTTTAATTTTGTATATATTTCAGTTACTGGTGTCCAAGTTACACCTTACCTTCTGACATTCACATCTTACACGTGCCTGTCCCTGGAACTCATTTCTAAAATGGGAAGAAATGGGTTTTGAACAGAATGAGGTCAGTTTCAAATATGAGCATAGTAATGTCCATTTGGATCCAATAGATCAGATCCTGTATATTTAAAAGGACTTGTTTAAATCTTTCATTTTCATTGAAGGATGTGTGTGAATTAGTCAACTTCTTTTTATTGTGTAGCTCAGTTTCAGAGATTACCTCTCCTTAAGAGTACAAAAATGTTAAGAAGTGTAAGTCCTTAGTGACTCTTTCCTTACAAGAAATACAAGAATTTAGAAAGCATGCCTGCATTTTATTTCATTCCATTCTATGTGTTTGTCTCAAAACCCCCAATGATAGTTTTCTTCTCTTAATATAGCAATTTCCTTCTTGTTAGACTAAACTCACATAGTTCCTTAGCTGATGCTATATATTTCATGCCACTGTAAAAGACATGGAAAATTAGATAAGAATTATCTTTGATGCTATAGACTGAAGAAGAAAGCAAATCTACATAATAAGGAAAGTATTACAGACATTGAAGTGATTCTGTATGTTTGCAAGACATTGCTGTGAGAATTTTTTACACAAAATTCTTCACTATAATATCTACAGGATGTTCATACCATATAAGGATAGTGTAGAAGGTAGTAGAGACATTTCTCCCATTTTACAACTTTAGTATAAATATTTATTCCAGTATGTTTTTTAAATTCTTAGTCAAATTGTTTTATTTTCAAGTAGATATAGTAATTTCATAAAACTCATACTGTGCTGTGCTCATAAGTTGCTGTGCCTGATAATTTTATCAGATTATATTTCACCAGTTACAGCTTGAATATTTGTACCAACAAATTGCTCTGTAAATCTAAGTGAAGCGAAACAGAGCAATTCATCTTTAAACTGATTTTGAGAGCGGATGGGATAAATAACTTTCAGGAAAGTATTAATCTTTTCCCACTGACTACAAAGTGAGCCAAGGAAATTTAGACTAGACAGTAAACTTCTAGGCTGACCAAAGTCAAGCAAATCTCTTGTACGGTTTGTTTCATTGCTACTTCGTTTCTTTGCTTGTTAGTGTAACTATGTTTGCCTCCAGTTGTCTTTGCAGCATCTAGCTGAGGACAAATCAGCAGAATTCTTTATTCTACATTTGGAATTTTTTTCACTATAAAATTTAACAAATAAAATAATTAATAATATTGACATGACAATTTGTGAATGGTTGAACCGAGTGGTCTCTTCTGAGACAAATGCTACTGGCCTCAGTTTCATGACTCTTCCCTTTAGTTTTTCCTCTCCTTGGACACTCTTTGCTTTGTGGTAGATCTTCTTCAACAGTCAGAACAGAGAATTACCCTTAGCCAGGCATATGGAATAACCTAGTAAGGGAGCATGGTCTCATGGTCAGCAAGGAGTGGGACCTGACCCCTGGAAGGCATGGGGTCAGCAAGGAAAGAGGACCTTCCACCCTACAGGTCTATATTCCAGGTGTGTTCTGCCGTGAGGAACATAATATTCAAACTGTTGTCACTACATGTGGCAGTGTTGCTAACGGATCCCAGCTATCAGTTTGTGGCTTCTCTGTATGTTGGCAGGCCTGTGTCAGTTAGCTGTACAAAGTCTTCCAACTCCTGTTTTTTATGCCCCGTGACCGCAGGTAGTGACAAATTCAGCATCTGGGACTACTGAGTTGCACTGCTAATATGCATAAATTCCTTATATAGTTATTGGATAGGCAGTTCTGTAATGTAGACACTGTGCAGACCTTGCAGGTTGCCCACCTATTTCCACTGGCAGCACAAATAAACAACATCACTACGCAAGACCCATAAATGACTAAGATGTCTCCAAAATTGTTACTCCTTACTTCAGACACTTCTAAAAATTTTCCCCTTTTTTTTTTCATAAACACAGGGAGATTCTGTCCTTGCTCCAAAGGAATGCATTTTGTTTACATTTAGAAACAGGTCCATCGTGGTCATCAAAAATAGCAGAAGGCCCTTAAAGTATAACTCCATTAGTATTTTGAATACTAATGAATGTAAAGCTACTCCTTGAGAGACATAAGGTGTTTCTTTCACAGAGGGGTATGAAATGTCAGTGCCAGTAGTAGAACAGCATGGGCTATAGGTAGGAGTAGTTCCTATGATTTCCATCCTTTTTCCTTTTCAGACTTTGCAGAGTTTTTCTGTGTCCTCAAGTGGGAACACAGAAAGTGGGGAAAGTACATGTGAGGGACAAGGATGACATGTCACTAGGCAAAGAAAAGGTTTATGCGTTACTCCTTACAATGCACCTCACCGATCTTAAATCTTCTCCTAACTTCATCCTGATGGAGGGATCCTCTCTTTTGACTGAGGTGTCCTCTCTAGAATTTTCTTTTAGGAGCTATTAGATTGAATTCAAAGACTCTGGAATCTAGGACTAGGTAAGTCCCAAGAACTGTCTCCATACATAGCCATAGACCTTAAGAGAAAATCATGGTGTGCAAAGACATAGAGCATGTCCTATGGACATCCACAAAGAAGTGAATGGATTTTGGAGATTACAGATGTTGAGAGCCCGTAGTCTCTCAGCCCCAGAAGTGTGTTGCTCAGAGAGCTAGGCAGTATCATACCACAGAAATGCAACCTTTGTTTTAGAGACATTTTGTAGTCCACTATAAATGTGCTTCCCACCTCAGCTTCATTAGGACTCTGTTGTCTGCTGGGATTTATCCAGATTTAAAATGTTACAAGAGCTCTCTTTTCATTTTTAAGTAAAATGCTTTAAAAGTTCTTAAAGGAACTGCTGTTTAGCAACACCACAGTAACTCATGAAAAACTGCTATCTTTGACACTTCTTGTCAATTTAATTTAAATTCTTATCAATTGTTAAGGATTCTGGATCATAATTCTAACACACACACACATCTGATAGTGATTAAAAATGAGGAAAAGTTAAGGATTAACTTATTTGTTGGAGCTCTGTATTCTTTCCAGCAGGTATCTGTAACATCTAAAGCAGAGAAGAAAAGACAACTCTCTGATTGGCTCTAAATGCTGCCATATCAGGAAAGAGAATTGGGGAAATCATATTTAATATTCTGACAAACACAGGCCTTTCATTTCACCTGTAAGAGGTTTAAAACTCTCAGTAAGTATTTAGCAATGGCCAGATGGTAGCAGCAATTTTTAAACAGATACTGTGATAGTGATACCATGTGTCTGGCATTAGTCAGCTGTGTCTACTTTCTGCAGATGAGTAAAAGCCATAGAGATTACGCATCAAAGCCACTTTGTCATAACCAATGAGTTGTTTGAAGATATGTTGGTTTTCTCACAGTTTCCTGAGCATCTGTAATGAAGTATTGAGACAGTGTTCCCTGTATAGAGCAAGATGATTTGCATCCCAGGCACATTGCCCTACCTAGACATCTGACTCCTTAGTGCTCATGTGCTTGCCTTTATTGACATGGAGGGTCACAAGCTTCATTCACTATTCACATGCTCAAATATTTGTGAATAATCCTGTGTTATCTAGTTAGATATTTACCTAAAACAGGAACCAATCATAGCCAAACTTTAACCTACTGCTTTGGTATTATGAAATGCTGGATTGTTTCAACATGAATATGCTCAAATAAGCAAGATTTTTGTAAAAATTCTTTTTCAGATCCTTCTAGGTGGAACCACAGGCAGTCTGTTGTCTGCTCATGATATCTACCAGAGGTTACAACAGCTCAGTTGGGAACTCATCTTCCAAAAATGTCTATGCTGAAACTTCAGTCCCTGATGGAAAGAAATCAGATGCATTTTACTTTATGACTTTCAAGTGAATATTAATTTTAGGGACAGCTTAAGTTTTAATACGTTGAGAAAGAACTTGAGATGTACTGTTGAGGATTCCAGACAGCCTGCTTTGCACTGGCATGTGAATAACATCATGGCTTCCAGTATTCAAGAATTGTTAAAAAGGCTTCAGATTTTAGAATGACATGTATTTAGGTACATTATCAGAGTAAGTAATTTTATAAGGATAAATGTTTATTCATCATATTGATGGATAATACCACATAAGCATGAACTAATAATATACGTGAACAAATGTTTGTTACTTTTCATCTGTTATTTAAAAGATGCATTTAAATCAGGCTTCACTGAAAACATTTGTCTATAATTGTGTGGTAACAGTCACCATCCCTTTAGTAAGTACATACAAGCAAAACTGGTCTGGCAGTTTAACATGATCAAGGCCTAGAGGAGCCAGACTTCATACAAGGGGTTGTTTTTTGATGGGTGTTTTGAAAATATCTGGAGTTTTATACTGGCTGTAGAATTTTTTTTAAGGTCAAAGAACCACCATCTGCCTTTACAGCCATAAGCATCAGAAGAATTCACTGTGAAGAACTGTAATACAGTTCCAGGGGGCATATGAGCTTTAAAACCTAAAAGTGTATCTGCTTGCACTCATTAACACCTTTCTAGTTGCACAAAACAAGCACTTGCACTGTTTATTGTCCATTTGAGACAGACAAATAAATGCATGCACAGTGTAACTGGATATCTGCATAAAAAATTCCATTAAATGTGTGAGCTTGTCTGAAATTACTTCTGCCTTAGCTATAGGTATCCCTAAACAGCATCATTCATTGACATAGATGAGTATGACACACATCCTAATACATGTAATAATCCCAACAGTGCCCAAGACCCAGCTGCTCTGTTAAAGTGATTCCACGAACTGCTGTCTTCTACCTAACCATTTTTGTGAGTCATTAGGAAAAACGGTCTCTAATGCCACTTGTAAATCAAGACTTACAGGATCATTCATAGGCCCATGCACAGAAAGAGACGTGATTTATGCTCTGTGTTTTCTATTCATTCTGTCAAAAGATAAAATATCTGTAATCTTTCTGCTGCCTCGTATAGTTTGTCATCCTCAGTGCTGAAACAATGTTCTGAAATATCTCAAATCCTTTTAAATATGGTAATTGTAATGATTTCTTAAATCTTAAAAGTGCATCACACCTCAAGAGCCAAATTACAATTTAGTTTTCCCATCTGCACATATGCATGAGGTTGAAACAACACTAGCTTCTTCTTGAATTCTCAGTGCCGTATCAAGATTAGCATCCAGGTGCAGCTGAACTAGCATCTGGGTTATGCTGAATCCTAAATGGCCCACAAAAATTACCTCTTCTCTGACATTGATTTAGCATTTGGATGACAGTAAACTTAAGTGGAAATTGATTTTTATCTTCAGGAAAAGGGGAGTGCTTCACAAGAGAGCACCTGTGTCAAGTAGTGAAGCACTGGGATTTTCTTTGACTCTTCAGTATACCAATGACAAAGATGTTCTTTCCATAACTAGCTGTACATTGTGTCCTTTTGTGTCAGCCTCACTGCTGACCACAACAGTATTTACATCACTGACCTTCATATTTCATTGCTGCAACTCATCCTTAGGAACAAAGCTCCATGTTATAAAAACTTGGGCAGTTGTAAAACACAGCAGCTCTATGTATTTAGCAACAGGTCATGGTGATAACTTTGCCCTGGAGTTCAGCTGGCTATGCACTGAATGCAGAGTTTGATTTCAAAGTCTGTCCTGATAATCAAAGCCTCCTGTGAAATAGGATTTAAGCACCTGAGTGTCATGATATCCCTCTAAATTCTACTACAGCTGTAAAATCCTTGGCAAATGAAGGAGTGTTTCAGGGCAGGCACAACAGATCTTTTGCAGACACAGGTCTTAAACTTTGTAATTTGCTCCCACAGCACAAGGAACAAGGCTTATGATCGTTCACAAATAAACTCTCTTTTCTTCCCAAGATTGTTACATATATGTACAAGTATACACACAGACACACATACTTGTGCACACATTTTCTCTCAAACATGAAGCTACATCTCTTAAAAACTGAGGAGGAAAAGAGATGTTTAACTATTTCTAAGAGATACTGTTGTAATACAGGACAAAGTTTTCTCTTGAGATCCTATTTATTCTCTTTAGCGTCCCTGCACTAAAATTCATTATGTCCCAAGACTGAAGGTATGTTGTTATGTAATACAGTAACTTGGTTTTGAAATCATAAAGTTTGTCATTTTATGACAGCCAGAGCAATTTCTATGCCTCAACAATAAACAATTTTCCTACTAGTTTAATTTCTGTGTGACTCTGAGTCTTATTTTGTGTCCCAGTTAAACAGACAGTTCCTTCCATGCTGCAGAATCTCAAGCTTGTTTTCCTAATGAAACAAGATGTAAACAGTTGTGTGCTCTGTCTATCTATCTGTCAGACCCACAACTAGCCCACTGTTCAGTTTCAGAAAAACTGGACAGAAGATAGAAGTCTCTAAGGCAATTTGAGTTCTTCATGAAAACTGTCAGTTGCTGAGTGACAGAAATCAGGGAACGGTTATACTTTGAGGTAAAGGTTTCAGGGTAAGCTTGGTATTACCTGTGATCCTTGCAGGGCTGAGAGG